AAAAGATGAACATTCATACGTAAAACAGTCCACACAAATCAGGACAGCTTAATCTAGAAAAATTACTTGCTCAGAAGAAAAGCAATTACAGCCAATATACGGTTAGTTGTAACTAACAAAGTATACCTACAAAGTTAAAGAGGACTAACGAAAGTTTTAACTAATGTCCACATCTAAATTTCTCTAATTCTTAAACTACCACTGAAACCACCAAAGCAAACACTATTTAAAACTGCCTGTCACTTAACTGCCATTAAGTTTTGAAGCATTTAGCCTGCTGTGTCTCTCCACTCAAAACTCCCCTCCAGATTTACCAATCACATCAGGTGGGAGGTGTGCCATTCCCTACACAGTACTCCCAAGTAACTTATGCACAGAATCTGTGTACTTGCCTTCTTTATCAGACTGTGGAAACATATGTTTTCTTTACCTTTAGCTCCCAAATGCACAGGAAAGCATACATAGCACTTAAGGGCCATCCAAAAAGATGTACTGTTTAATCAGTCATGGCCAGAACAACAGTACACAAATCAGATTAAATTAAATAAATAACACAAACTAGTTTGTTCCACAATGGTTCTCATTTCTGTTTTTAAAAAATTTACTGGTTCTTAAATACTTTAGGTTACCAGACAAGAAAAAAGGTACCACTGACATTAGTGGGCATTACACATGGAAACAAGAAATACTTTGCCTATAATTATCTGCTAGTAAATTATTGAAAAAGGTCAATTCACACCAGCACACATGAACACTACCCTTCTCCTTCCACTAAGTATACTCTAGGACTTTTCTCTTCAAACTTATTAACTCCCCAGGGTTAGAAATTTAGTACAGCGGTGCCACTGCTTACACCTCACAAGCGCAAGGACCTGAGTTCAAGCCCCAGTACCAAAAAAAAAAAAAAAAAAAAAAAAAAAAAAAAAAATTGTAACTCCCCAGGACTTCTCCAGTATGTCCTTGATTCTGCTTAATCTATTCCTACCCAGGAAATAATCCTCCAGAGAAAACCAGTGAAAATGTTGAAATAACAAGATACAAAACAGAGTCAAACTTTTCAGAAAAGCAGGGTTATTCACAGTGATATTCTGATGCATCACAAGACAGATGCAAAATTATAAAATGAAAGACATTTTAAAAGAAACAATACTGAATGATCCCAAAGGCAACCATGTATAACACACTTGGTATAAGATCCATCTAGCCCAGTGATGCAAACCTTTCAGAACTTTCAATGGTAACAAACAGCCCACTGCAGTACACGTGCCATAGGTTCTCCACTGATCTAGCTTAACACAAGTCTGTATTTTACATTAAACTCAATGGACATCCTATTTATTACAGATCTCTAAAAAGAACCAGTTGAATACACAATATTTTATCCTGCTGGTTGGGTGACTGGCTCCCAATGTGATGAGAGGTTATTCTGTGACACTATAAAAATGGAGACCATCTCTAATTTTGAAGTAAAAATAAGGAAGGCTTGATTTTGGCATTAATCCTAGCTCTCAGCCTTTCTCTTACTAAAGGTACTTTGCTTAAAATAAAGCTTGCTTTAGATGGGGCAATATCTATATATTTTTAATTAATTTTAAAGTACTTTAAACCAAGAACCTTTGGAATTCTGGTACTAAATTGCACCAGAAATAAATTCTCTGATTTCCAATGTTAATTGAAGTGCCTCTTACAAATATATTTTTCGTAATACCAATGATGGTCATTTTGCCTAAATGACATAATGTCTAATTTGTTTTCCTCTTTTAGTTTGCAAACTTGAATAATGGTGACGGTAATTCCAAAAGTGTGTGTATAGTAAAAGTACATTCTTAAAGAGCTCTGAAATAAAAAGGTTAAGTGATTATTCATACCATATACAATAAACAAAGATCATAAAAGTAAGATTGGATAAACAATGGCTTTAAAAAAGCACCAAACTTTCTGGAAAAATTAATGTAAGACTATCCAGGCAAATTTTTTTAATTACTACATCTAAAGAAAATATCTTCAAAATAGTAGCTAAATGTGCTATCTAGAAAATTAAGATTTCTCAAATTCTTTAATACAGTCAAAAGATGATATAACACATGAAGAGCTCTACTTGAGGGAACCCAAGAACTAATAACAGAACCTCAAAGTCTCAGAAAAGGCAGTCATTTATAAATATCTAGCAGGATGTTAGCACCACCATTATTCACCAGCCGATCTCAACCCTGCAATACTCAATGAAATGTTACAACCTTCACCTAAAGGAAAATGCTTTTTTTTTTTTTTTGGTACCAGGGACCAAACTCAGGACCTTGCATTTGCGAGGCAAGCACTGTACCACTGAGCTAGATCCCCGGCCTAAGAAAGATGCATCTTAAAAAACATCAGGGCTGGGGATTTAGCTCAGTGGTTCCAGTGCCCGCCTCGCAAGCACAAGGAAACAAGTTCAATCCCCAGTACCAAAAAAAAAAAAAAAAATCAATACCTTGAAGATCTGTAATTAAAAGCTTCCATGTTATGGAACTAGATGCTACTATATGAATATTTAGTCTTCTCTTACCTCTTATGTGGGGACACACCTGGCTATCTACATAGCTCAGGACCCCATCCTTAAGGACCTCTGAAAACCTGTCATTTGTTTGCCAATCCAAGTTTCTGATGTGGTTTGGATGCTTTCCTGGCTTCTCTTTCTCCTATTCCTCAGTTGCCTAACTGCAGACATTCCTCATTTACAGATGGAGTTAAGGTCCTGCAACTAGGTGTGAACAGAACTGGTCACTAAATGAGGATGTGTATATAGTATATACATTACAATGCTCCGAACAAAGAAACGGTCAAAGGAAACTCCAACTTGATGACTTTGCTTTTTATTTGTGTAACTCTTACATGTGGTACAGTAATATATAACAACATAAAGCTACATTACTGTATTGTACAATCAACAAAAATTACAGTACTGTACTGCAGAAGAAGCTACCATAAGGCTACAGTGCCACTCACATCCCTGTGTTGTGAATCAAGACTAGAGGGCCCTAAGTTCAAACAGCTCACCTCAGTCACAAAACAAGAAATATCTGTATAACATTCCCTACTTCTAACTCAACAACTTTCACTTATATTTCTATTCAAGCACAGTAAGTATTTTTGGATTACTGTCCCTAATTAAGGCCTCAGGACTTGTGTACTATGCCCAGCTAGGACGTGCGAGTTTAATTCTTTCATGTATTATTTGCATTTTATTAGTTCCTATTCCTGATGATGAACAGACACTGGGTAACAACTTAAATTGTTCAACATTTTATTAAAAGCAATTTTTTAAACAAGGTTGATAAAACCTGAGACAAGCAAATTACGCCCTCTAAAGATTAAATTTATTAAAGCTAATTTTAACCATAATTAACCAAAATAAAAATAGGAATACTATTTCTGATGAGAGGTTTACTTAGGGAACTACAGTAATAGTTACAGTACAGTTAACTATGAATCAAATTTAAAGCATCCTAGTAAGGAAGTTAAAAGCTAATGAGAGGCCTCTCGTTCCACGTGAACCAAATCTATAATAGCCAGCCAACCACATCTACATAAAAATCTTCCTTGAAACAGACTAAGACAACTATGTTGTAAGAATCATAGGTGCGAGTTAAAATTGAAGGGAGTGAGTGGAAATAGGTTTCAGTATTTTCATGATAGATCTATCTTCATGATAGATACAAGTGTCTTGATCACCACCTAATGACCTAGGTTCCACTTTGACTCATTCTTCTTTAAGAACTCTGATTTGACTTTATTTGAAAAAGGCAAGATTTATTCAATGTGAAGAGAAACCAGAGTATTATTTATGATCCACCTAATTTTATCTTTCACACAGATGGTATATGACAGAACAAAATATGTCTTGTATTTTGTACATCAAAATAAATCATATCTAAGAATTTAACTTAGATGACTGTTACACTTCCAAATATTTCCACTATTACCAGATAAAACTACTGAAAAGTTTGTTTTTTGTTTGTTTGTTTTTTGGTACCGGGGATCATATTCAGGACCTTGCATGGTGCCACTAACCTAAATCACAGGCCCCTGAAGTTTCTTTGAAGGGAACTCAGTTCTTAAGCCTTAAAATTTTTTCCTTTGTGAATACTTCTCTTGAACAAATCTGAAAAATGCATTTTAAATAAATAAATAAGCTTCAATTGAAAATCAATTTTAAAGCTATAACTTTGATAATTATAATCAGGAAATAATCCAATTATTTTACTATTAACTCTGAAAAAACTACTACTATTCTAGTAAATATTGTTTTGGGCTCACAGTAATCACCAACTAAAATCCACAAGTGCATAAAAAAATGACACAAACTGGTAGAGAGGAAGAAAACATAACAGTTTAAAATAAGTAGGAAAACACTACAACACTATCTCTTTACAATATAAAATATTTAGTTAGCATAGAGGCTTAATTATTCCTTTTAGAGAAAACTGCCTTTTTATTTAAAAAAAAAAAAAGCACATGAGGATGGTCCTAAATATCTCTTAATGATGCTTCTTGTCTTTTATTGAGCAGTGAGAAATTTCCAGATTAGTGAGCATAAGGCTATGTCTACACATAAGCCATATGAAATGCCTCTGATTTTACCAACTCCCTATACCATCTCAAAAAAAACATTGTGTAGACTTCACCAATGATGTAGGGACAAATTATAAATTTATAAATTGACTTAGCAATAAGCGCTCAATTTATGGAGAAATTTTTATCAAAAGAGGATTAGTCATTGCAAAAATAAGTAATGAAAACAAGATCTAAACTCTAAAGTAAATCAAATTTTTACACATTTTCCTATGTAAATAATTTTTAAAGAGATAAATGTGGAAGATTTTACAGGAGGTATCATGAACTCATAAAACGAAGATAAATTTTATATTAAATATTCATCACTCATGCTGAGTTCAAAATAAATGAATTTATACATATTCTATACTATTTCATATTATATATCAAAGTATTTTTAAACTTACCCAAATGAAGTAATGTAAACTGGGCAGCAAGTTCCTTTGCATCTTCTATCGTAGTGCAGAGCTTGTTTGGCATAAAGTAACTCTGAGATCCATTTGCAATCACAGGAATAACTATTTTGTACACCAAGAGTACTTTCCCATCCTGACTGGTTGTTGAATATAAATAATATTCTGGTGGTGCCCAATTATTTTTATTGCAGTAATAATCCAAGTGCATTACTGCAGAATTAAAATGACTGGATTTTAAAGAATACATGCTAATTGGAGTAAGCTTTGTCCCAGGAAAGAAAGGATAAGTGCATCTTTCAATTTCAGTGGGGCTTGGGCTATGCTGACCATTGAGACGAACAGAGAGAGCTGATGACTTGCCTAGCATTTTGGAGTGGCTCTCTTCTTTGTTAGCATACACAATCAGGTTTTCAGGACTGGAGCTTATCTGACCATTAAGGTGCTGCCGCCAAGTGTTTTCTTTATTTACTGGTTTTGCAAGTGTTACCTCAATACTTGCTCCATCAATGCATTTCCCACTCATAACAGACATAGCAGCTACTGCGTCTTCTCGGTTGAAAAAGTGAACAAAAGCATAATCTCTAAGTTTTTTTACTCGTTCAACTGCACCAGGTTTGAATTTATTGAATTCTGCTTTAATTGTTTCTTCGGTAGTTGAGATCATTAAATTTCTTACAAAGAGAACTTTAACTCTTTGCATTGTTTCCTCATCAACTTCTTTCTCTGGATCAGCCCAATCCACCTGAATGGTATGACCCCACAGTTGGAAGGTACCTGTAAAAATGAACATATTAATTTGAAGATAAGTTTAAAAAGAATGAAATTTTAAAATGTTAAATATGTCTCTCCAAAGAAGCAGAAACTCAAGCACCTATCAATGTATCTGATGATTCATAGAGAAGTTTTTACTAAAGCAAATTTATAACCAGAACTTATGGTGGCATGTAAGAGTCAAGACAACAAATATAATGTAAGGACAGAACTTAAACTAGACCTGAATTAAGTAAAATGCCCCTTGGATTTTTAGTAAACAGTAATTAATAACTCAAGGTATACCCATTTGGTACATGATGAAGTATCACAAATATGACTCCGAGGAAGGATTTCTTGTCTATAATGAGTTGTTTTTACTTTTTCACTCAATTCTTTATTTTTCTTCAAGTAGCAGCACTATGTATTTTGTTAATGATGACCTAACCATTGAAGTAACTGTTACTTTTCCATATTTGTAAGATTAATATGGAAAAATTATCTTTAAAAGGTGCAATTTACCTGGAATTAATTTTCTCCGAGCCATAGCAGCAGCTCTGTGAGACTCATACTTAACAAAAGCAAAACCACGATTTTTGGTCTTATCAGTTGCACTTGGATAAACAATGACATCTACAACTCCTTCTGTAAATTTTTTCATTTCATCCAAAATTTCTTCTTTCTTCTTTTCTTTGGGAATGGATCCAATAAATAATCTGCAATGTCTTATCATGCACTTGGATAAACAATGACATCTACAACTCCTTCTGTAAATTTTTTCATTTCATCCAAAATTTCTTCTTTCTTCTTTTCTTTGGGAATGGATCCAATAAATAATCTGCAATTATCCAAGCTCACACAGACACCAATAAATTTCCCTGGTCGAATCTCATAATTATTAAGAATTCTGATGGCCAACTGGGCTTCTTCTTTCGTAGTATACATCACAAAAGCATAACCTCTGTTTTCACCACTAAATTCCATCATAAGTCGAAATTCATATATTTTCCCAGCTCTTCCAAATACAGGAACTAACTCATCTTCATACATATCACGAGGTATTTTTCCTACAAAAACTTCACAGCCTCTAGGTGGAGGTGGACCTTCCCAACCTAAAAGACAAAAAAATAAACAGACATTAAAAAATGCTAAAAAGATACATTTATAATTGAATTATTTAGTCATTCAACAAATTGGCTGAAATGTACCCGGCACTACTCTAGATGTTGGAATCAAAAGCCCGTTCTCTAGTGACACTTATATTCAACAGAGAAGGGAGACAATAAGTCAGTTGTAAGTGCTACTATATGAAGAAAAACTAAGGAGTAATGTTTTCAGTAGATAGTCAAAGCTATGAGCACAGGAGGTTTAAGTGCAGACCTGAATGAAATGAAGGAATAGGCTATTAGGGTTCTCTGGAAAAAGACCATTCAAGAAAAGGAAAAAGCAGCAGGTTCATACATCAGAGCAAAATTAAGGCTGGAGATCTGTATGATTCAAGTATACTCAAGATAGGCCAGGGATTTAACTCAGTGGTTCCACCACCTGCCTCGCAAGCACAAGGTCCTGAGTTTGATCCCTAGTACTAAAAAAAAAGAGTGGAGCAAAGTAGTAAATGATGCAATAACCACTGAGTTTAACTAGAAGCCAGAACTTTGAGTGTAACAAAGTCAACCACAGGGTTCTGAGCAAAGGAATCAGACCAGCTGTTGGTAGAAATGTAAAAACATTTTATCTGTTGTCTTTTTTTTTTTTCTAGTACCGGGGATCAAACTCAGGACCTTGTACTTGCAAGGCAGGCATGGCACCAATGAGCTAAATTCCTAACACTAATATTTTATCTGTTTACCTGTTTAAATCTGATTTCTTTATATAACTACCATTCCTCTGCTCATAGGTCTTTCAACTTCCTCTCCAAGTGACCTTCTTTTTAATACTAAGAGTATACTTAGGATAATGCCGGAATCCTGACTTCTTTCTCAGTCCAAATTCATTTTCATCTGCTTCTTAAACCAACAGGAGGATTGCAAAACTACAGAATAAAATGTGTAACATTTATAATCTACCTAAAAATGATTACCGAGGTCTTAAAGCAGTTTCAAGAAGAGTCATTTTTTTAAGACACTTGTGGGATATACACCTAAATCCAAATGACTACTTCAAAACTTTAACGTAAGATGATGAATGAATTCACACCTGGAGGAGGACCACCAAATTTCCTTTGTCCGTTTTCTTGAACCATGTTGTAACCAGTCTTTTCCAACAAAGCAAGCAAAGCTGCTTCATTCTGAATACCAGTTCGAACTTTACTGCATCCATTTGTTCCATCCATATTGTCTTCATTCATGGCTGCACTTTCTAAAACAAATTTAAATAACAGTGTAAGTTTATGATACAGCACCTGAAATCCATGAAGCATTTTCTCTTGGTTGCTCTTCCCAACAGAAGAAACTGGAAACTGCTTTTAATGTTACTGACCAATTAAGCAGTTTCTTTAGAAGATCTAAGTTACTGGACCCTTATCTTTCACCATGCACTAAATTAAAACCCAAGTGGATGAAAGATCTAAATATTAAAACAGAAACACTAAACTTGCTGGAAGATAAGTTAGGCAGAACTCTTGAAGACATTGGCATAGCAAAAGACTTTATGAACAAAATCCTCAGTAGCACGGGAACTAGCAGAAAGAATCAATAACTGGGATCTCATCTTATTAAAAAGCTTCTGCACTGCAAAAGAAACCACAAACAGAACTAAGAGACAACCTACAATGTGGGAAAAAAATTTTACCAGCTGCTCCTCAGACAAAGGACTATTATCTAGAATATATAAAGAACTCAAAACAATCAGCCCCCCAAATATAAAGACCCAATTCAAAAATGGGCATCTGAAATGAACAGACATTTCTCAGACAAAGAAGTAAAAGCAGCAAGTAAATACATGAAAAAATGTTCCACATCACTGGTCATTTGAGAGATGCAGATGAAAACAACCCTGAGATTCCACCTCACCCCACAAAGAATGGCTGCTATCAAGAAATCACACAATAACAAATGTTGGCAGGGTTGCGGGGAGAAAGGAATCTCTCTCCATTGTTGGTGGGAGTGCAGACTGGTGCAACCACTATGGAAGTCAATATTCAGATACCTCAAAGAGCTGAGACAAGAGGTTTCACTTGACCTAGCCATCCCCCTGCTGGGTATCTTTCCAAAAGAATTAAAAGAATTATATCACAGTGATATATGCACACCTATGTTTATAGCGGCACAGTGTATAATAGCTAAAACTTGGAAACAGCCCATTTGCCCACCAGTTGGAGACTGGATAAAGAAGATGTGGCTTTTCTATAAAGTGGAATACTATTCAGCCAAAAAGAAAGAGAAATTAGAGTCATTCATAGGAAAAATGGATACATATTGAGGATATACTCCTACGTGAAATAAATAAGTCACACATGTATAAATACCAAATAGTTTCTCTGGTATGAAAAATTATAATAGTACATAAGACCCTAATGGTATAACTGACAATGTGAAATAGGAAGAAAAGGGCTAAAGGTGTAAGGAAAGTGGGAAGGGTAGGGGAAAGGAAATAAGGGACAAGAAAAAAACATGAAAAAATGGAAATAAAGTATTTGTAAATAGGGAAGGGGTGGTGAAGGGAGGGCAGGGGTGAGAGGAAAAAATGAGAACCAAGACCTGTCATGTAAAGGTACAAGATCCCAACAATGAATGTAACTGTACTGTATACCTAAAATATTCCAATAAACTCAATGAGGAAAAAAAATGTATGGGCATTAGGTTATAGAGTTCAGCTTTAACAGGGGCATTTTTTTAAAACTTGCATATTCTATGGTTAACTATCAAAAGACTGTAACTAGTTATTCCAGCTTTCCCCAGCACTCATTATTTTTAAGAAGTCTCCATAATCACCAGGTGTCATTTTCAAGACAGGGAGACAGTGCAACCCAGCGACCTCTGGGTTTTGCAGCTTTATCAAAACCCCCACTGGCTCATGGGATTTCTCACCGTGCTATGTCTTGCCAAGTATGTGAAGTCAGGTACATAGTTCAAGAAAAGTCAAAGGCCAGAGGTCATTTTGCATGAATAAAGTCTCTGAGAGCTAACAAAACTGACATGTTTCTAGCCATTCTGGGTACAAAAAAAGTATGCTGGCAAACTGATTCACCATTTACTAGCATTGTGCAATATTATAAAGGGAGAAGAAGAAACACTAGCACATTATGCTTGGCTTCATGGATGGCTTTCTCACCATGACATTAAACAAACACTGTGCATAGTGAACTGTAAATGCACCTCCTTCAGATTTACAAGAAATACACTCAACATCCTAAAGTATAAAAGTACAAAGAAAACACTAAGCAAGCATTTACAGCAATACTAGCACATCTACAATAACTGTTTTGACTGTTGCCTTTTGCTCATTAACACATTTTCTGCATTGTAAGTATTGTATTGCTTTGTATTTCATGTTCAGGTAGAGTTAGTTGTACACCAAGTATTGCAATCACCTTTCTCTTATTGTATATGCAATGCAATAACATACAGTTTTGGTGCTTAACAATATTTCTTTTTTAAAAAATAAAGAGTATTTTTAATATAAAAAATAAAAATGGAATGTCAATACAAGTTACCACATGGATGCTTTTAAGATTGAATGAAATGATGTATGTAAAAGGCTTGTTAAAATTCAAGTAAGATTAATTTTGATAAATATAAAACCAGCAGTGCATCTTAAATTTTTACACACCCATATATAGCTGCCACAAGCAGCATATTTTTGTATATTTTTTATTTTCTCAAAAGTGAGGAATGAGTATTACACAATAAATACAAGCCTTGGGAAGAGTATCAGCATCTCTACAGTACGTGCTGCAGTGAGCTGGGGAGCAGAGTAGATGTCACCACTAGGGTAAGGAGAACTGTCACTGTAAATACCCTCGCTACTACTTAGAGCACAGTAGCTACGAAGCCGGTCTTCCTGGATTCCTAAGCTTTCTTTTCACTTACTATCTGTACTTTAGTTAAATTACCTTAGCGCCACTGCCCCTCCATTTCCTCATGTGTGATATGCAAACAATGACATTGTCTATTCTCATGAAGTTTTTATGAAGACTCAGTTAATGTCAAAGTAAAAAGCACTTAAAATTCATTTTGGGCCTTAATAAAAATTTATTTTTTACTACTAATTTTATGCATCTGTTGGAATCTTTCAAACCACTACATATCAGCAAATAACAATAGCTCAGAATCCAGTTATTCAATGCATCTACAGATTAACTGGCTTCAAAACAAAACTGTGATTAATTAGGCCAGAGAGAAAGAGGATGATACTAATGACTGTCCTGTCTACTATAAATGCTAGTATGTTTCTACACACTACCGCTAACCTCTACCATTACAGGAAGAATCTGCCTTGCTTAAAAAAATTATCTCCATCTAGATGAAGAAACAGACTTAGAGAAACTACAGCCAAGACTATAAAGCTAGTGGTATAAACAAATGCAAACACCAGGTCTGATCTCAACTACCTTCTCTCCCATGAAAACTATTCTGGCACACCTCCCTCAACTTTACCTGAAAGAACTAGGGACCATCCAAGGTTGACTTTTATGAAATAGAATTACCAGAAATTATAAACTGATAAATACAGTGACCTCCAAGTCCCTATGGGTGATGAGTAGCACAGGACGGACACAGATATGGGGACACACACACACACACACACACACACACACAATCTTTTAGTCTTTAAAGTTGCTTCCAAGCTAGTGTTATATTAAATTGTATCAAAGGAAGTAGTTCTAAAAAATTTTTAAAGGGCAGGAAAGTAGTTGATGCACTCAGAGAGTTTCTACCTACCATCTACCTCATTTCCCTAAATTTAACCTCTGTATCCCAGTTCTCTTTCTCAGCTAAGATTCATTTATTAAACAGCTTTGTGAACATGTGTTCAAAATATATTCATTAGACATCTCAAATCCAACATACCAAAACTTGAATGCCATTTTATTTTCTAAACCTGTTCTCATTTTACCTTATCTCAAGTAATTCATCCATTCAATCAATAAACGGCACAACAAACATAGCGTTCCTTCTCCTACAAACTGTGAAAGATAGAAACCTAGGAATTATCTCAGTCTTTCCTTTGAAATACAGCTAATTGGTCATAAAATTCTGCAGATTTAAAATATTTCCTGCAATCAGTCTTTTCCAGTACATTCCTAAAAGGTGTTCACAAATAATTATTTCTTACTTAGATTACTGCTAAGCTCTAAAATGCTATTCTAAGTATTAGTCTTGTCTTCATCAAATAAAATCTCCACAGTGCTATCAAGGCAACATAAAATATATACCTGATTAAATTATACTTCAAGGGCCAGGGATCTAGCTCAGTGGCACCACACCACCATGCCTGCCTCACAAACCCAAGGTCATGAATTCCATACTGGGTACAAAAAAAAATAAATAAAAATTAAAAATAAATTATAATTCAAATCAAAACTAAAAGCAAAATGAGTAAATTCATTTTTTATCCTTAGAATTAGGAAGGCTTTTCTAAAATAAATTTTTGAAAGCCTCAAAGGAAAATATTAACATATTAACAAATTATATTTTACTACATAAAGATACTTTGGAGGGCAAACATGATAAAACTAAGTAAAAAAATTATAAGCATGAAAAAATGCTCTTAAACATCTGTAATAAAGTATTCATTTCCTTAAAATAAAAAGAGCAGCATAGTACTGTCATTAAGAGCAGACTGAAGTACCGGGCTGCCTAAATCTGAATTGTAGTTCTTCCCTTTACTAATCTATGACTTTGGAAAGTTATTTAACCTCTAAGTACTTCCATATAATTCTGAATAGTAAATAAACAATAACAGTTTCTATCTCATAAATAAAAGGATTCAAAATAAAGGGTTTAAAATAAGCCTTTGAATATAAGCACTAAAAATGTAATTTACTACTATTAATATGTGATTAAACTAAGAAAAACACAAACTTCAGGCCAGGGACTTCAGACTCAAATTCGATCATTTGTTCAACAAGTATTTATCAAACACCAACTGTGTCCCTGGCATTACTCTTTATTTCTAGTTAGTAAGACCAAAATTCTCCCACTGTATAGCTTCCACTCCAGTGGGGAAAATGAATGATATATAATATGTAAATAATATATAAGAGGTGAGAACAGGGAAAGAATACATGGGCAGCTGAAGGTTAGGAGGAGAAGACAGAGTTCGATTTTAAACAAGATAGCCAGGACGGACCTCATGGAGAAGGTAACCTTTTAATTAAGTACTAAAGAACCTAGGGGTAGGTGTTTGGCTCAGCG